TGGCCTCGATGAGGAAGGGCTGGTTCTCGGCCACGGCGCGGCGCCGCGCCTCGCGCGTGGCGTTGTAGACGGCGAAGACGTCGTTGCCGTCCACGCGGATGGACAGCAGCCCGTAGCCGGGGCCCCGCGCCGCTGGAACGGGGCCAAAAAAGGGGATTTTGGGGTCCCTGCCCGCTGGGGGGGCGCGGGGGGACGGGGCCGAAATGGCGAAAGTGCTGTGCCCAAAGTGCCAGAATCGGTGTGCCGAAATGCCGGAATTATTGTCCCAAAGTCCCAAAAGTGGTGTCCTAAAAACTTAAAATTATTGTCCCACATTGCCAGAATCGCTGTGCCGAAATGCCGGAATTATTGTCCCAAAGTCCCAAAAGTGGTGTCCTAAAAACTTAAAATTATTGTCCCACATTGCCAGAATCGCAATTGGTGTCCTAAAATCCCTAAATTGGTGTCCCAAAATCCCTAAATTTATTGTCCCAAAGTCCCAAAATTGGTGTCCTAAAATCTTAAAATTATTGTCCCAAAGTCCCAAAATTGGTGTGCCAAAATCCCTAAATTGGTGTCCTAAAATATCAAAATTATTGTCCCAAAGTCCCAAAACTGGTGTCCTAAAATCCCAAAATTATTGTCCCAAATTCCCAAAACTGGTGTGCCAAAAAGCCAGAATTATTGTCCCAAATTCCCAAAACTGGTGTCCTAAAATCCCAAAATTATTGTCCCAAATTCCCTAAATTGGTGTCCTAAAATTTTAAAATTATTGTCCCAAAGTGCCAGAATTGGTGTCCTAAAATCCCTAAATTATTTGGTGTCCTAAAATCTTAAAATTATTGTCCCAAAGTGCCAAAATCGCTGTGCCAAAATCCCGAAATTATTGCCCCAAAGTCCCAAAATTGGTGTCCTAAAATCCCTAAATTATTGTCTCAAAGTCCCAAAACTATTGCCCCAAAGTCCCAAAATTGGTGTCCTAAAATCTCAAAATTATTGTCCCAAATTGCCAAAGCTGGTGTGCCAAAATCCCAAAATTATTGTCCCAAATTGCCAGAATCGCTGTGCCAAAATGCCAGAATTATTGTCCCAAAGTCCCAAAATTATTGTCCCAAATTCCCAAAACTGGTGTCCTAAAATCTTAAAATTATTGTCCCAAAGTCCCAAAATTATTGTCCCAAAGTGCCAAAACTGGTGTCCTAAAATCCCGAAATTATTGAAATTATTGTCCCAAAGTCCCAAAATTGGTGTCCTAAAATCTTAAAATTATTGTCCCAAAGTGCCAGAATTGCTGTGCCAAAATCCCGAAATTATTGTCCCAAATTCCTAAATTGGTGTCCTAAAATCTCAAAATTGTCCCAAATTGGTGTCCCAAAATCCCAAAATTATTGTCCCAAATTCCCAAAATTGGTGTCCTAAAATCTTAAAATTATTGTCCCAAATTCCCAAAATTGGTGTCCCAGAATTGGAGTCCCAAAATCCCAAATTTGGTGTCCCAAATCTCAGGGATTTGTGTCCCAAAATCTCAAAATTATTGTCCCAAAGTGCCAAAATTGGTGTCCCAGAGTTGGAGTCCCAAAATCCCAAATTTGGAGTCCCAAATCTCAGGGATTTGTGTCCCAAAATCTCAAAATTATTGTCCCAAAATCCTGAAATTGATGTCCCAAAATCCCAAAACTGGAGTCCCCAAATTGGAGTCCTAAAATCCCAAATTTGGAGTCCCAAAATCCCAGAAGTCGGAATCCCAAAATCCCAAAATCAGTGTCCCAAAATCCCAAATTTGGCGTCCCAAAATTCCGGAAGTCGGAATCCCAAAATCCCAAAATCAGTGTCCCAAAATCCCAAAATTGGAGTCCCAAGATTGGTGTCCTAAAACCCCAAATTTGGTGTCCCAAACTCCCATTTTGGGCTTTCCCCCCAAAATTCCACAGATCTGCTCCCCAAATTCTCAGATCTTTCCGCCCCAAAACCCCCTAAAAACCCCAAAACCCCCCAAAATTTGGGGGTTTTTGTCTCCCCACCAATGCCATCACCGCGGTTCTGCTCGGAGGTGGGCGTGGAGATGGCGGCAGAAGAAGACGATGGGCAGAACCAAAACCCATCAAAACCCCCCAAAACTCCCCAAAATCCCCTAAAAACCCCAAAACACCCCAAATCCCCCCAAAATTTTGGGATTTTTGGGCTCCCCACCTATTCCATCACCGCGGTACTGCTCGGAGGTGGGCGTGGAGATGGCGGCAGAAGAAGACAATGGGGAGAACCAAAACCCCCCAAAACACCCCAAAAGCCCCCAAAACACCCCAAAACCCCCCAAAACCTGCCCAAAACCCCCCAAAATTTTGGGATTTTTGGGCTCCCCACCTATTCCATCACCGCGGTACTGCTCGGAGGTGGGCGTGGAGATGGCGTAGCCGTTGTTGCGGCAGAAGAAGACGATGGGGCACTCGAGGGTGGCGGCGAAGTTGAAGCCGGCGTGGGCGTCGCCCTCGCTGGCCGCCCCCTCCCCGAAATAGCAGACCACCGCCCGGCTGGCGTCCGCGCGCTTGATGGCGTAGGCCGCGCCCACGGCTGGGGGGAAAAACGGGGATTTGGGGAAAAAGATCCGGGGTTTTTGGTCTGGGGGAAAAGGGGGAATTGGGGAAAAAAATCCGGGGTTTTTGGTCTGGGGGAATTGGGGGAAAAAGGGGGAATTGGGGAAAAGATTGGGGAAAGAAAGGGGGAAATTTGGGGAGAAAAAAGGGGAAAATTGGGGAAAAAAAGGAGAAATCTGGGGGGAAAAGGGCAGAAATTTGGGGAAAAAGGAGAAATTTAGGGGGAAAAAGGGCAGAAATTTGGGGGGAAAAAGGAGAAATT